CAGGCGCACGTCCACAACAGCGGCAACGCGGCCGCCGGTTACCGCGCCCCGCGGGGAAGCTGGTCTGTCTCGACAGAAGAGAAAACCGACGCTCCGAGTGTCCGGCCGGCGGGGGCGGGCCCCTGACGCCTCAAGGGCCCCGGGGCAGCTCTCTGGCGCCCCCAGCCGGCCGGCCGGGGTCGTGTTGCCGAGCGAGCGTCCTCAAGCTGGGGGGCAGAGGGGGGGGACCTTGTGCGCGTGTGAGAGAGCGGGTCTGTGCGGGGGTGGAAGCGCCGGTTCGGGGGTAGGGTGCGCGTGCGCGTGGGCGGACTGGGAGTGTCTGTGTGCACGTGTACCGGCGCTGGGTACTCTCTGTCCTTGACCTCTTGCAGCAACCCTGAGGCCACCAGGGTGCAACCTCCTGACCCCCTCCCTCACACACAACCTGCCACCCTTCCTGTCCCCTCTGTGTCCTGAACACCACACGGTCACCGGCCCGACCCACTTTGTGAAACCTAACTGCCAGCGTTCTTGTCTGTCCCCAGTCCCGCGGCGGGGGCCTGACTTTCAGGACCCAGAGTGGGGCAGCCATGTGCGCGTCTCGGGGTGTGGGAGGGCTCTCATGGGACAGAGCAAGACAGTCCGGTCCCGCTGGGATGTGCAGGCCTGTGGGCCTGGTTTTGTCGCCTCCAGGCCTCCTGCGCAGAGCTGCCTGGCCCTGGATGAGGCGCAAAATACGTCTCACATGGTGCGGTTGCTTGTGGGCCGGGGGTCAGCCAGAATGCTTTTCCTCTTTGACCCGATTTCAGGTCAAAGCTTTTGTCCCTCTGTAGGACAGGGCCTGCTCTCGGGCATCAACCCCACCTCCTGTTAAGCTACTTGGGGTTTGGGTCTCCCGGATTCTCCTCCCAGGTGGCCTTCCAGTCTGTCTGAAGTTGCCAGGCCAGCCTTAAATATCCCATGTCCCTCCCCAACCCCCAAGCACAAGTCCTAATCCCCCAGTCCCTGAAGTCTGTTACGTCCCTTCCCTCTGGTTACAGCTTTCACCCATCTTTATTTTTCCTGTCTTCTAGAAACAGAGCCTAGGGGGCTCCTGGGTGGCTCAGTCGGTTAAGCGTCCGACTTCGGCTCAGGTCGTGATCTCGCAGTCCGTGAGTTCAAGCCCCACGTCAGGCTCTGTGCTGCCAGCTCAGAGCCTGGAGCCTGTTTCAGATTCTGTGTCTCCCTCTCTCTGACCCTCCCCCATTTATGCTGTCTCTCTCTGTCTCAAAAATAAATAAAGGTTAAAAAAAATTTTAAATAGGGGCGCCTGGGTGGTGCAGTCGGTTAAGCGTCCGACTTCAGCCAGGTCACGATCTCGCGGTCCGTGAGTTCGAGCCCCGCATCAGGCTCTGGGCGGATGGCTCAGAGCCTGGAGCCTGTTTCCAATTCTGTGTCTCCCTCTCTCTCTGCCCCTCCCCCGTTCATGCTCTGTCTCTCTCTGTCTCAAAAATAAATAAAACGTTGAAAAAAATTTTTTTTAAAAAAATTTTAAATAGAAACAGAGCCTTGGATCCGTGCTCATTCCCCTTGGTAAGTCCCTCCTGCTACCTAACCCCTTTCTTTTTCCAACTAGAGTCTGACGGGAGGGATGGTGCTTAGGAGCTACAGCTCAGCCTCTGCAACCACTCTGAGTCCAAATCCTAGCTCCACTGCCGACAAGATCTCTAGCCCCAAAGTGTATCAGGCAGGGTTCCATCAGGAACTAAGGGTTCTCTCCAATCAGTAAATTGAGCAACGTCTCCTAGCAGGGTTATATCCAAAGGTGTGCACAGGCTGCTGCTGAACCACAGGGGACAGAGCATTACCCCAGATCTAGAAACAGTGGGCTTAGTGCCACTTTGGGGGCCCAGGGCATGGGGAGAGAAGAGCCCCTAGAATCTGGAGAGGGTCTCTGGTGGCAGCTGTGACCTACAGCATCCTGGCAGGGAGGCGGGGGGGGGTGTGTGTGTGTGGAATGCCCAGCCTCCCTCTCCTCCGTCCCATCTCCTGTTCTGTGGCCAAGCCCAACAGAAGCCATGGACAAGCCTTCAGCCTCCTGGCCCCCTGACAGAGCGGACAAGGGTAGAGGAAGGATCTGGAGTGGCGACAGAAGATGCTGGCACACCCCGCGAGCCTCAGTCTCCTCACCATCAAACAGGCTATCGATCCTCCCTTCCTTCTAGGCTGTCACGGTGATAAAAGAGAAGATACCCGTGAGGTGCCGAACACTGGCCCAGCACACCCACGGTGCTCAATGCACACATCCTAATGTCTGCTTGGGGATTTAACGATTAATTGGCACCTTGAACTTAGCCTGGCTAAAACTGAAACCTTGAGGGGTGCCTGAGTGGCTCGGTTGGTTGAGCGTTCCACTTGGACTCAGGTCATGGTCTCGAGGTTCGGTTTCTAAGTTCAAGCTCCGCGTCGGACCCTACTGTCAGAGCAGAGCTGCTTTGGGTCCTCTGTCCCCCTTCCCCGCTCTCTCTGCCCCTCCCCCACTCGTGCTCTCTCTCTCTCTCTCTCTCTCTCTCTCTCTCTCTCTGAAAAAAAAAATAATAATAAAACTAAAACCTTGAATGTTTCTCCCACAAACTGGTTACTGGTCTCAGTAAATGGCACTGCCATCTACCCGACTGGTCAAGCCAGACCCCACCCAGCGCCATCCTTCAGGGGATGGAAGTCTCCGTCTGCCTGTCCCCGCATCCTCCCCGCATCCATCATTCCACCCTGTGTGCTCTTGTCCAGACACATCGCACATCCGTCTCGCCACTGCCTCCCACCGGGCTTGCTTCTGACACTGGCCGCTGCTACTCTGTGATCCCCACCCGCCAGTGACAGGGATCTAGAGTGTCCGCTGCGTCAGGCCACTCCACCGGTGCCCTCCAAGTCCCCGCTTGTGTCTCCAGTCTCACTGGGCCCATGCCCCTCCGCCGGGCACCCGGCCTCCTGACCCCTGCACATACGCCCCTCCACCGGGCACACGGCGTCAGTGCCCACCCCCCCGGCCCCCAGCACTAGGCCTTTTCTTTCCTCAGAGCATCGACACATATTATTTCCAACCCCACAGAAAAACTCCTTTCTTCCAATTGTCCCCACCAGCTCCTTCTCATCCTTCAAATCCCAACTTAAATATGATCACACTTCAAAGAGGCCTGACCAAATCATCTCACCTAAAATACATTTCTCAGGACACCTGGATGGCTCAGTCGGTTGCGTGTCCAACTCTTGGTATTGGCCCAGGTCGTGATCTCCTTGTCATGGGATCGAGTCCCAAGTGGGGCTTGGAGCTGAGCATGGGGCCTGCTTGGGATTCTCTCTCTCCCTCTCCCTCTCTGCTCCTCCCCCTTCTCAAAATACATAAACAGACTTTAAAATTTATTTTTTAAAATATGTTTTAATGTTTATTTTTGAAGGAAAGAGAGACAGAGTGTGAGTGGGGGAGGGGCAGAGAGCGAGGGAGACACAGAATCCGAAGCAGGCTCCAGGCTCCGAGCTGTCAGCAAAGAGCCCGATGCGGGGGTCGAACCCACAAACCACAAGACCATGACCTGATCTGAAGTCGGACGCTTAACCGACTGAGCCACCCAGGCGCCCCTAAAATTTTGTTAATGTTTATTTTTGAGGAAGAGAGAGAGAGACAGAGCGCGAGCAGGGAAGGGGCAGAGAGAGAGGGAGACACAGAATTCAAAGCAGGCTCCGGACTCTGTGCTGACAGCACAGAGCCAGACGCGGGGCTCCAACTCATGAGCTGTGAGATCATGACCTGAGCTGAAGTTGGACCCTTAACCGACTGAGCCACCCAGATGCCCCTAAATAAACTTTAAAATAAAATACATTTCTCTCTTTCCTCCCTGTTGACTTTGCTGCTCTGACACCCTGATCTGTTCTTTAATAGCGCTTACAAACTTTGTGGTTCTATATTCATTTCTTTGGTGCTTGTCTATAGGCTGTCTCCCCACACTGCTAATTCCATAGAGGACAAAGGCCCTGTTTTGCCCACCGTTGTATCCTCAGGACCTGGCACGAAGTAGGTGGTCCATAAGTCCATACCGGGACACTTATGGACCAGTGTCCCGGTGACAGCGATGCCATCAGAGCCCGTCCAGAGACTGTCCCCACACCATCAAAGTGCTCCCCAAGCCCTTCCTTCAGGCTCCAGTCTCTACCATAAATCCTCCTGTTCCCGGATTCATCTAGGGCTCATTTCAATAAAGGACAAAGGAAAAGGGGCCATATCACCAAAATCTCTATTCAGGTTGATGACAGCATGAGTGGATTGAAGACTTATCGGGAAAAATGGATGAGAGACGGGGAATGCCAGGAGACGGGGCAGAGCACGTGCAAGCCTGGGGGAGGGACAGCGTGTGGGGACCCGGGCAGCCAGCAGGGCGTGCCCCTCTTCTCTTCTCTGGCCCCTTAGATAAGACAGTAGTTTTGTCATGCTCCCACCCCACACATAGCCCCTCCCTTTGTAGCATGTCCCGCCAGGAGAATGTGTCACCCCAGGACGTTTGGTCAAGGATCTCGAATTCCCTAAGGGACTTCATAAATACCGTCCTGATTGGGGCTCCAGGAGGTAAGGAGAGGCGACAGAAGCTACTGCATAGGAGGCAACGAGGGTGGAAATCAGGAGCGGAGGTAGAGATACAAATAATAGACATCTGCTGCCGGCCGAGAGGGCCTTGGCATTGGGGCGGGGGGGGGGGGGGGGTCTGTGTTTATTGGAGTCTCCCCGGTGTTAAGTTTTGGGCCCTGGCCTGAGCCTCTTTCCCAGCGCCTGTAGGCAGAGCACACAGGAGCCTGCCGCACGGGAACCACGGGGTCTGCCCGTGTTGCCTGGACTCTGGCCCCCGGTGGTGACACTTTAACCAGCACGCACAACTGCTCCCTAGTCTCGTGCCTCGTGCCTCGGCCACAGACAGTGTGGGACAGACACCCAGAGACAGGCGGGCACCCGGGGGCATGGAGGGTGCGGCTGGACGTGGGGCTCCTCTGGGCTGGGCCGGGTCAAGCTCCGGGGACCCTGGGACCAGAGTAGCATTGAAGGGGCTGGGGAGCTCAGAGGAGGGGCTCGGGAAGTCCACCCATTGGAAGGAAGAAAACAGGAACCTTAGGAAAGGGGACTGGGTGATTCTGGACAATGAGCAGCCAGTGTGGACCAGAGATGGTGATGGGCCGGGGCTGAGGGAAGTCAGCAGCTGAAGGTCAGGAGGTCGGGGTTGTGAGGGCAGGCCGGAGTGGGTCAGACCCGGACATGCATCCCATCTCTGTTACTTAGAAGTTCTATGATCTGGGGCAATTTATTTAATCTTCCTCAACTCCTGTCTCCTTCTCTGGAAAGTGGGGACACTTGTAGAGCACGTAACGGTACTTGCTCCACAGGATCCTTGGAACTAGGTAGGATAATGCGTGTAGAATGCCCAGGCCGGAGGAAGGACCCCGGGAAACCTGGAGCGCTCAGGGCGGGAGCGCAGCGCTGGGATGGGGGGGGGGGCGGTGAGGCGGGGGCCCACACAGCCCTCTTCTGCTGCAGGGCCAGCCGGGTACCTACGGCGGGTCAGCGGGGCCCAGCTGGCCCACGAGCTGGGCATGGCCTTCTTCGAGCGGCAGCAGCTGTCGGCCGCCATGGCGGACACCTTCCTGGAGCACCTGTGCCTGCTGGACATCGACTCGGAGCCCGTGGCCGCCCGCAGTACCTGCATCATCGCCACCATCGGTAAGCAACCCCCCCCCCCCACCCCAGCCTCCCGGACCTCAGACCGGGTCATTCGTTCAACAGATACTTGTTGAGCGCTTGGTAGCCAAGGTGTCAGGCCCCGGCCCTGGGGGTAGATCAGCGAAGCAAAGATCCCGACCCTTGGGGAGCTGAAAACCCAGCTGGGTGAGACAGTAAATACTAACCGTAGGGGCACCGGGGTGACCCAGTCAGTTAAGCTAAGCGTCCAACTCTTGACCTCGGCTCAGGTCACGATCTCCCAGCTTCTGGGTTCGAGCCCCACATCGGGCTCTGCGCTGTTGCAGAGCCTGCTTGGGATCCTGTCTCTCCTTCGCTCTGCCCCTCTGCCACATGTGGTCTTTTTCTCTCTCTCTCAAAATAATGAATAGGGAAAAATGCTAAACATAATAACTTAAAAAGGAGTAAACTATTTAGCACGTGAAAAAGTGATACGAACAATGGAAAAAAGAAAAATGGAGTGGAGGAAGGGACCCCAGGGCGGGGGGGGGGGGGGGGGGGGCTGCCAACCCAAGCGGGGAGAAGATCAGATCTGTGCAGAGCCGGAAGGAGATGTGAGGAGGGCGGTGTGGTGGCGGGTGGGGGAGAGTTCCAGACGAGGGGGCAGCCAGCGCACAGGCCCTGAGTCAAAGAGGCCGGGACGGTTAGAAGACATCAAGGGGAGAGTGGCCGGATGAAGGTATTGTAGAGAGAAGAAGGCCGTGTAGGGCCTGGTGGCCACTGTCAGAGTCTGAGTGGGGCCCCCCCACCCAGAGAAGTGGGAGACGACGGCCCAGCAATGAGTAGGAGAATGGCTGGTCTCCCACGAGGGCCGCCCTGGCTGTACTGGGGAGACTGGGGTGGCGGTGGGAGCAAGAGCCCCTGTGGCTGCTGAGGTGCTTCTTTTTTTTTTAATTTAAAAAAGATCTTTAATTTTTTTTAATGTTGATTTTTGAGAGAGAGACAGTGTGTGAGCACGGGAGGGTCAGAGAGAGAGGGAGACACGGCATCGGAAGCGGGCTCCAGGCTCCGAGCTGTCAGCACAGAGCTTGACGTGGGGCTCGAAGTCACGAACTGGGAGATCATGACCTGAGCCGAAGTTGGACACTCAACCGACTGAGTCACCAAGGTGCCCCTTAAAAATTAAAAAAAAAAAAAATTTTTTTTTGTTTATTTTTGAGAGAGACAGAGACAGAATGCGAGGGGGTTAGGGCCAGAGAGGGAGGGAGACACAGAATGGGAAGCAGGCTCCAGGCTCTGAGCTGTCAGCACAGAGCCTGACGCCGGGCTTGAACCAACCAACCAGAGATCAAGTCCCACACTTGACGGACTGAGCCACCCAGGCGCCCCTCCTGCAGTGTTTCTGACTCAGACCAGGTAGGGGCAGGGGCGGTGGTGAGACAAGACGGGGTTCCGAAAGCATTTGGAAGACAGAGTTGACAGGATTTCCAGATGGGTCGGACATGGCGTGGGGGTGGGGCTGAAGAAGGAACCAGAGAGGAGTCAACTAGAAGGTCGCATTTTCAACTGAGCAGGAAAGACTGTGGAGGAGAGGTTTTGAGGGGAGGAGATAGGAGCTCGCTAGGGGCGGGGGAGTTTGAGGGGCACAGAGTCAACCAGAAACACAGGTCTGGGTTTGGGGCAGGGTCCGAGTGGCAGATATAAATGTGGGAGGTGCCAGCATCTAGATGGCATTTGAAGCCACCAGACTACCACCAAGGGAGCGAAGAGAATCAGGCATCTGATGTTAAGGGCAAGGGGAGGGGGGGGAGCAAGAGAGGCAGAGAAGGAGCGGCCGCCCCGGGAGCAGGAAGCCAGGAGGGGCGCGTCCTGGAAGCCACGTGAGGACGCGTGTCAGGTGCTGCCGAGGGGCCAGTGGCTGCATTTAGCGACACCGAGGTTCCCGGTGACCCTGGCAGGAAGAGGTGCCGGCGAGGCGGGAGGCCAGCGCCGACTGGAGCCCGAACAAGGAAGAACAGGGGGCGGGGGGAGGACCAGAGGCAGCGAGCTCGGAGAACTCCTGCGACGAGTTTTTCTTCAAAGGAGAACAAGGAGACAGGGCTGGAGCCGGAGGGGAACTGGGGCTCAGAGGGTCTTTAGTGCTGAAACCGAGAACACAGGCTTCCATGCTGATGGGAACGCTCCAGTAGAGAGGAGAGCACGGATGGCGCGGGCAAGGGAGGTCGGCAGAGCAGCGCGGGGGGGGGCAGGGCAGCTCGCTCGGGCCTAGGAGGCCTCTCGGCTCCAAAGGCCCAGACGGACCCCAAATGCCCCACCCGGCAGCCGTCTCCTGCCGTGCCCCCTCCCGCGCCGGGGGACCCCCGCCCTGCAGCACCTACATCGCCGCCCGGCTGAGGACGCTCCCCTCCGAGCCCCCCCACAGCGCCCCCACCCCCGGGAGGCAGGTGTTGGCTGCAGAGGGAAGCAGAGCTGCTGACGGGGGAGTAGAGGCTGCTCAGGGAATAAAGGTCCGGTCTCCGGCCTCCCGTGGCGCGGTGATGGGTTTGCTGCCCCCCCCCCCCCCCCCCCCGGCTTTGGGAAGCAGGTCGGTCGCCTGAGCGGATCCCCGCTTCCAGGGCCGGCCTCGCAGTCGGTGGAGCGCCTCAAGGAGATGATCAAGGCCGGGATGAACATTGCGCGCCTCAACTTCTCGCACGGCTCCCATGAGGTGCGGGGCGGGGCCGGGTGGGCGGGGCCAAGGCCTGCGCGGGACGGGTTGGGGGGGGCCCCTGGCGACCTTCCCCTGAAACGCCCGCTCGCTGGTCCGCAGTACCACGCTCAGTCCATCGCCAACATCCGGGAGGCCGTGCAGAGCTTTGCAACTTCTCCGCTCAGCTACCGACCCGTGGCCATCGCTCTGGACACCAAGGGACCCGAGATACGCACCGGGGTCCTGCGGGGGGTGAGAGGGGCGGGGCTCGGGAGCGGGGCCGGGGTGGGGGGGACCCGGGGGCGGGTCTCACGGACCCCTCTGGCCCCTCCCCTAGGGCCCCGAGACCGACGTGGAGCTAGTGAAGGGCTCCCGGGTGCTGGTGACCGTGGACCCGGAGTTCCGGACGCGGGGGGACGCGAACACCGTGTGGGTAGACTACCCCAATATCGTCAAGGTCGTGTCGGTGGGGAGCCGCATCTACATAGACGACGGGCTCATCTCCCTCCAGGTGCAGAAAATCGGTGCGGATGGGCCTCCGCCCCAGCCGCTGGGACGCGGGGTGCGCTCCTTCTCCCTGGCCCCCTCGCTTCGTAGACCCGCCGCCCCCGCCCCTGGCCAGCGCCCTCCCCCACCCGTCCCCGGAGCCCCCGGGGTCCAGGCTTGAGGGCTCAGCCCGGGTTGGGGCCGGACTGCCGGGTTAGTCGTCCCTCCCACGGACGCCCACCGGTGCCTGTTCCGTGCACGGCCCAGGCCCCAAGGTGGACAGACAACAGGACACGGGTTCCTGATTTCCTGGGGGCCCACGCCCCGTGCCCGCCCTCCACGACTCTGCCCCCCGGCTCGCCCCTGACCTACGCTGGCTGTTTCCATGCCTGCAGGCCCGGAGGGGCTGGAGACCCACGTGGAGAACGGCGGCATCCTGGGCAGCCGCAAGGGCGTGAACCTGCCCGGAACCCAGGTGGACCTGCCGGGGCTGTCCGAGCAGGATGCCCGGGACCTGCGCTTCGGGGTGGAGCATGAGGTAGACATCGTGTTTGCCTCCTTTGTGCGGAAAGCCAGTGACGTGGCTGCCATCCGGGAAGTTCTGGGGCCGGAAGGACGGAACATCAAGATCATTAGCAAAATCGAGAACCACGAAGGCGTGAAGAGGTGAGGCTTGGTCCTTGTCCCCACCAGGCCCCAGCCATCCCCCAAGCCCTGCCTCTTCTCCAGCCTGCCTCTCCCTGGCGTCTCCTGGCGCTTCCTCAGCCCTGACACCCCAACCGCCCAGGTTTGACGAGATCCTGGAGGTGAGCGACGGCATCATGGTGGCTCGAGGAGACCTGGGCATCGAGATCCCACCTGAGAAGGTTTTCCTGGCTCAGAAGATGATGATCGGACGCTGCAACCTGGCGGGCAAGCCCGTTGTGTGTGCCACGCAGGTCTGGAGTGAGCCCTCGGGGACCCCGCGCGTTCTCTGGGCTGGGGGGAGGGTGAATATCCTCACCTTCGGTCTCTGGCACATTTTGCCGTCCAGTGTTTGATCCTCAAGCGACCGAGCTGGGAAGAGAGACCGTGAGCCCGCGTTTTGAGACGAGGAAACGGGACAGCCAGAGTCACACAGTTTGTGGCCGTGACCCTGGCTTTCAGGGCCCTCTGAGAGTGGCAGAGAAGTAGCTTCGGCAGGGACCCCAGGCAGAGTGTGACTGCTACAGCTCTGACGCCCAGATGTCCCCCAGATGCTGGAGAGCATGATCGCCAAGCCCCGGCCGACCCGGGCAGAGACGAGCGATGTAGCGAACGCTGTGCTGGACGGGGCGGACTGCATCATGCTGTCGGGGGAGACCGCCAAGGGCAAATTTCCCGTGGAGGCCGTAAAGATGCAGCACGCGGTAGGGGCGCCCCACCGAGACAGATGCGCCGGAAGCCCCGCCCCTTCCGGGCTCCAGCGCCCCGCCCCCGCCTGACCTCCCGGTGTTTGCAGATCGCTCGGGAGGCCGAGGCTGCCATCTACCACCGGCAGCTGTTTGAGGAGCTGCGCCGGGTGGCGCCACTGAGCCGGGATCCCACTGAGGTCACTGCCATCGGCGCGGTGGAGGCCTCCTTCAAGTGCTGTGCTGCTGCCATTGTCGTGCTGAGCAAGTCTGGCCGGTAAGGAGGACGCAGGCAGCACCGAGAGAGAGCTTTGGGTCAGGGGCACACTGGGACGGGCCCCGGGCCTGGGTTCGGCCTTGTCATCAGGGACGAAGGATAGAATTCTGGGGCCAGAGCAGAGGGAGCTCCAGGAGATCGGGGGGGGGGGGGCGGCCAGCAGGGGCGGGCCTTGGGCACAGCAGGAACTGTGCCAGCGAGCTCCAGGGAGCTGGAAGGGCAGTGTGACATCACTGGGCACATTGGCTTCCAGGCCATCTGGGCATCTAGGGCCCCTGAGCAAGTCCTCTACATTCACCCCACAAAGCCTTACAATGCTGAATGTTCCAGAAGGTCCCAGAAGGTTTTAGTTCAAGTCTTTGCTCTCAAATCGGCCCTGAGACCTCGGGTAAGTCACCCAGGCTCCATAGACCACTTTTTCTCGTGGAGTCGTCAGGATTAACAAGAGATGTTTGTGAGTTAAGTACGATAGGGTTTCATGTTTCTCCAGAAGTTTCTTATTATCTGCCTCCAATATATCCTTCATTGTGTCTTATCTTCCTTATGTGGTAAGAAGGGCAGGTGAGAAAAACAAGGCCCGGAGGTATATGATGACTTACCCAGGGCCACACAGCTTGTTTGTGACACCTGGGACCAGAACCCCAACTCTTGTTTCCTGGCTCACTACTGCCTCACCGTTCTGAGACCTTCTCCACCTCCTGCAGCTCAGCACAGCTGCTGTCTCGGTACCGACCTCGGGCAATGGTCATTGCCGTCACCCGCTCTGCCCAGGCTGCCCGGCAGGCCCACCTGTTCCGAGGGGTCTTCCCCGTGCTCTACAGTAAACCTCCAGAGGCCATCTGGGCAGACGATGTGGATCACCGGGTCCAATTTGGCATTGAGAGTGGTGAGCCACCTCGGTTTCCTCCCCACCCAGCCCTAGGTCTGTGTCATCAGGCCCCCGACCCCACTTTCCACACCCACTCGAAGGGCCTCGTCTCCCTCCTCTGGTCCCAGATTTTCCCTGAGAAGGTCACTAAGACACCGGGCTATTTGGGCCTCCGGGGGCCAGGGGACACGCTGAGGAGGGCAGTGGGAGAGGGGTCGGCCCAGCTGCCACTGCTGGAGCTGGGTGGGACGTAAGGAGTAAGAGGTGAGAGTACAAGGGGGACCCCGTCCCCCCAGCTGTGTGGCTGTGATCATACTCCATCTCTTCCCGGGGGCGTGGCAGCACTGGCAGCAGGCCCAGTACTTAGCCACCCGGCCCGCACTGCCCCGTGGACACACTCTCTGTGGCGCCACCTGTGGGACACTGTGCACTGGAGGAGACGGAGGGTGGCGGCTGGTTCTCACTGTGGGGCTGGCCAGCGTCCCCCAACGACTGATGGTCATCTTCCTCCCGCACCCCTGCTAGGAAAGCTCCATGGCTTCCTCCGTGTTGGGGACCTGGTGATTGTGGTGACAGGCTGGCGACCTGGCTCTGGCTACACCAACATCATGCGGGTGCTGAGCGTCTCCTGAGATGCCGTGCCCCGCTGACACAGCCCAACCGGGACCCCCACCCCCTCCACCTCACACCCCTACGGTCCCACAGCCGTCTTCTCTGCTCTCCTCCCTCCCTGCCTAGGCCACATCTGCCATCCAGCCCCATCCCAGGGCGCCCCTTCCCCGCTCCATTTCACGCAGGCCCCTTAAGTCTGTGTCCAATTAAGCACTGGCCATCTGGAAGCACCCGTCCTCCCGTCCCTGCACCCAATGCTCTCAGCCTAAGATGCTCTGAGCCTTTAATCCTAGCTTAACTGGTTAATTCTATTCCTCTGGGCTTCCCGTACTGGGGGGGGGGGGGTGCGGGGAGGAGGGGAACAGGGCCATCATGTCCATAGTCTCCACAAAGTCACCATTTAAAAAATGTTCCGGGGGCGCCTGGGTGGCGCAGTCGGTTAAGCGTCCGACTTCAGCCAGGTCACGATCTCGCGGTCCGTGAGTTCGAGCCCCACGTCAGGCTCTGGGCTGATGGCTCGGAGCCTGGAGCCTGTTTCCGATTCTGTGTCTCCCTCTCTCTCTGCCCCTCCCCCGTTCATGCTCGGTCTCTCTCTGTCCCAAAAATAAATAAACGTTGAAAAAAAAAATTTAAAAAAAAATGAATAAAAATAAAAATAGGGGCGCCTGGGTGGCGCAGTCGGTTAAGCGTCCGACTTCAGCCAGGTCACGATCTCGTGGTCCGTGAGTTCGAGCCCCGCGTCGGGCTCTGGGCTGATGGCTCGGAGCTTGGAGCCTGTTTCCGATTCTGTGTCTCCCTCTCTCTCTGCCCCTCCCCCGTTCATGCTCTGTCTCTCTCTGTCCCAAAAATAAATAAACGTTGAAAAAAAAAAAAGTTTATTAAAAAATAAAAATAAAAAATGTTCCGTATCCATGCAGTCTGATACCCTCAGTGTGGCCCTCATGCATCTCCTGGGGAGAATGCCACCTCTTTCCTCACCGTGACACAGTGATGTCAAAGCACCGCCGTTCTGGGGGAAACTGGGGTAGACCAGTGCCGGGGAGCACAGAGAGCCGCATGGGCTCATCTCGTCACTGTCCTCACAAGTAGGCCGCTCCCTGGCTGTTCTCATGCCCACCTCGTGCCTTGCTGGGTCAGAGGCCCCGCTGCTTCCTCCTGCACCCAGACATTCCTTCCTGCCCACCTTGGTCCCCACACAAACCAGGAGCCAAGACAAGTATCTCTAGCTTCTTTCTAAACCCAGCTGTTTGGGAGTGATTATACCACCCAGGACTCTTCACCCAAGAGAAAGATGACTTAGGGTCCTGGCCCTGCATTCTCTGATACTGTAGAGCAGACGTGGGGCCTGGGACGTGGGGTAAGGGATTTCCCTTGTGCCTGGGAAGGCAAAGGTACTGACGGGCCTGCCCTTCCCCAGGCTCGGATGTCTCGGGTCCTCCCCTTACTCTCTCACCAATGGTAAACTCTAAGCTCGGAACAAAACCCTTGAAAGTAGCAAGAGTCCACCCTTCTGCAGCTCCCTGTAGGGAGAGGGCTCAATATCGCTGCCTGCCGATAGAGCTGAGCGAGGACCCTATAAGGACAGGTAGGGAGGGATGGATAACGGAATGGCTGAACAAAATGAATTAATGATAAATAAAACTAGCAAATGAATAAATACAATTATTACATGATTGAATAAATAAGAATACACAAGGAAGGGAGGAAGGAAAGAAAAAAATGGCCACCTAAGGATTCAGCCGCTTGCCCCTCACCTGGGGGATCCAGGCTGGCACATTAAATAGGGACGTGCCAACCGTCCCTTGGCCTCAAGGGGGACACCACTGGGGCAGGGAAGAGGCTGCTCCCAGTTTACAAAGACAGTTGTACCACAGGGACAGAAGGTGCAGCAAACTTGACAGGAGACAGGTGTTCCCACAGTAGTGGGGGGGGGGGGGCAGGAGGCATGGGGGGGGAGGGGCCACACGCGGCAGTGATGGTGGGTGCCCACGCTGGGGAGCCAAGATATCTGTTGACAGCAGCGGAGGCACAGGTGACTGGCAGTGCCCGGCTGTGCCAGGAAGACAGAAGTCAACCCACAGCAGGTGGTTCCTGTGGGGTTAAGGGCAGGGAAACAGAGACATCTAGTTGCTTGGCAGTGATGGGGGGGGGGGGGGACAAGGACTTGTGCTTCGTGAGGCGGGGGCCTGGGGCTGAGCCTGCACCTGGCAGGACTATCCCAGGGGAACACCCTGCTCGGAGGCCTTAGAGTCACTTCTACTTGGCAGTGAAGACATGTAGCGCCTGGCACAGTGTCTTGAATGTGGTAGGCGCTCAGTACGTTTGATGAACGAGTGGATTAGGAGGATGTCAGACAGGCTGCAGGGTGCCTGAGCTGAGGACAGAGGCCGTCTCCTGGGGAGATATTCCCACAGGGCCGTGTTTCCGGTCTCCTTGGCCTTCCCCAAGAGGCATCTGCCCTCGGGCGCACACTGGCGCACCCAAGAGCTTACCCAAGGGTTTCACATGTTGGCAGAGAGCTGGGGGCCCCGGGGGGCAGCTGGCTCAGGCGCTGATGGCCTGGGCGACTGAGCTGTCCCTGGCAGCTTGGCCAGGAGTCCTGAGGAGGACAGGCGTTCACTTCCTGAGCCCTTACGCCCAGGAGAGCCGTCACCAGCTGCCCGCTGAGGCAGAGAGGGTTGGGAGGCGGAGAGGGGACGGCCCCGAAGTCCTAGTCGCCGTCCACCTCCTCCCGGGGGGGGACCCAGCAAGGACACCTGGGAGCGCCCAGCCCGGGACAGGCTGGCATGAAGGGTTCGGGCAGGTGGGGCAGGCAGGCGGGAGGTGGATGCCCACGGGCCCCGGGCCAGCAGAGGGCCAGCTCCGACGGGCACTAGTGGGGAGGCTGGGGAGCCTGCTGAGCGTCGGGCAGAGCGAGCGAGGAGGGTAGCTGGAGAGTCAGGGGAGAGGGGCAGAGGGCCCCGCTGGTGAGTCAGGGCGATGGCCACACTGGAGGTCACGGCGGCCGCCTGCAGAGGCGCGTGCACCAGGGGCTCCCACAGCACTGGCTTTCCGCTGAGCCGAGCTCCTGTGCCCGGGGCTAGGCCCCGAACGCCCCGGGCCATGTCCCTGTCGTGCTGCACCAAGTGCTGCTCCATGGTGCCCCCGCTGCTGCCCGGACTTGGTTCGGAGCGTTTCCGCTGCAGGACAGAATTCTTCTTGCCTAGAAATGGTCCGGGGAGGGAGAGATTGGAGATGGGGAAGGAGTCCAAACTGGAGGTCAGGTATCAAAGAGCAGGAGCATAAGAAGATGAACTCAGAGGACGGCAGCGGGTGAGGGTGGGAAGGAGAGGACGGGGATGGGGGGAGGGGGTGGAGGTTGGGAGGCAGGGGTGGAGAAAGAGGGTCGGGGATGAGAGGATGTCTCTGAGAGGGTGAGAGGGAAGGAGGACTCGGCACGGAGCCACGGGGCCATCTCTCCAGGGGCAGGGGACACTGTGCCGGAGGCCTCGCGGGGCATTTGCCGGGAATGGCGCGGGCTGGGGCGTGATGCCGAAGCGCCGGAGCCTGGGCCCTGGGAGGTTGGGGGCCCCTCACGGGGGAGGCGGGGTGGGGACACAGCCAGGACCCAGGGCAGACAGGCTGGATGAGCCTCACCGATGCGGCGCAGCCGGTCCATGGCTACCGTCTCGAAGGCCCGGCGCATCATGGGGAACTCTTCCAGCACGGCGTTGAAGTGGTCCACGCTGAGCGAGTACAGGCGGCAGTAGGTGTCAGCGCGCACGCTGGCCGTGCGCCGGCCCCGCGTCAGCAGACAGATCTCTGTCCAAGTCGGGAAGAGGCCCTCAGGACCGCGGTCCCCAGAACGCCCTCTCACCGGGCCTGCGGCAGCTGACCCGGCCCCCTCCCTGCCCAGGGCCAAGGCCCTGAGACGCCCCAAGCATCGTCTCCCTCCATCCTTCTCACTCTCTCCAGATTAAAGCTGGCACACAGGTGGGCCTTGCTGGCTCCGTTATTCCAGTCATTTCCATTCCCAGCCACCTCCTCTGCTCTGGTCCAAGGGGCAGGCCTGGGGCAGTGCCCTCTGTGTACCTGCCCCTCCCACCCCTTTGCATGAAGTCCAAGGGCAACCCAGAAGGAGAAAAGCAGTGCCAAAGGGCAAAGGGCACCCAGGGATGCTAGCGAGCAGGGGTGGTTTGGGGCCTGAGAGAGGACATCTGGTGGGGTGGCCCCCACTGACGCAGCCTGGGTCCCGGGACCCTCCCCACAGGGCACCCCACCAGGGAACCGTCCAACTCAAGCCCCTGGAACAGTATGGCTCGATTCCTGTCTTTCCTTCGTCTCGTAGGGTCCCCAGACTTCACCGCTTGAGGGTCTTAGAAGGCCCAGTGGCCCAGGAACTTTCCCCACCCCCGCCCCGCTGCTACCAATCAGAATCTCTTAGGAAGCTATTTAAAGCCACAGAGCTCCAGGCCCCAGGCCCAGAGATTCTGACTCAGGAGGCCTAGGGAAGGGCTAGAAGTCTTTGACTCTGCACACAGCCAGGCAGGAACTCTGCACAGTGATCCAGGGGAGCAACTGCCCTCTGTCCCCTGCTCCAGTCCCCCCACCCTCCCTGAGGCCTGCTGACCCCCAAAGTAGGATCCATCGGTGAGGCGAGTGTCCCGGGCGCCGCGCGCCAGCACGCTGAGCAGCCCGTGCTGTATGAAGTACATCTTCCTGCCCACGGAGCCCTCGCGCACCACGAGGTCCCCTGGCTGGAAGACCTCAAAGTGCAGCTTGGTGAGCACCGCTGTGACGAAGCTGGGGTCGGCGTGGGCGAACAGTGGCATGTGGGCCACCAGGCCGCGGCAGGTGAAGTTAATGATCTCCTGGGCAGGGGAAGGGCCTGTCAGGCAGGCTGCGCCCCCTCCCCCGAGGTGCCCCCATCGAGCTCGTCTGTCTCCAGAGGCCCCACCCCTGGGGTCATGATCTACCAAAGGATGGGGATGCTTCAGTGGGCCTGGGACCATCCCTGCACTCCTGCCTCCAGAGCTCTCCCGCGATCCCCCGCCGGACCGTGCCCCCCAAACAGAGATCCCTGCAGGCCCTCCCCGCATATCCTTCACCCCCGTAAGACCTTCAAGAAAGACCCTAATCCCTAAAAGCCCCCCCCCCAAGGCCTGGCCTCCCACGAGGCCCTCCGCAGGCCCCGCTCCCTATAGGTGCACCTGCTGACCAGGAGCCCGTACCCCAGACGGCACCTCAGAAGCCCCGGTCCTTGTACAGCCCCCTCCGGGGCCCAGTCCCACCTCCCGAAGCGGCTCGCTCAGCTCGCCCAGGATGCTCTCTTCGTCGAACATCTTGCCCTGGTAGCGGTGCTCGTAGTACTCGTGGATGCGCTGCCGAGTGTCGGCGGGCAGCTTGTGGAAGGCCATGTACTGCTCCACCTGCTTGTACTGGGGGGGCGGGCGACGGCAGTGGGTGAGAGGGTGCAGAGACATGCGTGGGGCAGGAGCAGTGGCGGGGTACGTGCGGAAGAAAGATCACAGACACAGGCCAGACCCGGAGGGGTGAAACGTGGACAGAGGGGGTACACAGGGCCACAGAAGGACATGTGGGTAGCAGTGGATACGGGGAGGACACACAGCACAGTGACAGGAAAGTCCAGACATGGGCAGAGGAGGGGCCCAGGGACAGGGACATAGGTCCAAACAAGGAAGAAGTTACACACACGGGCATGGGACAAACGGACACAGGGCAGGGAAGGACACGGAGACCCAATAGGAGCATGAGCACAGGCCTCACGTTGAGCTACCCAGCCCCTAGCCCCCCTGCAGGCCCACCCCTTCCTTCTCCTGCCCCTGCTCACCTTCTCCTGGTACTGACGTCGGGAAGAGTCCAGGGACTGGATGAGGGCGGTGGCATGGCCGATGAACATAGCGTAGCACGTGGCGCCCACGATCATGCTGAGCATGGTGAGCCAGACGTCGGGCATGCCGACAGGTGCCTGCTGCCCGTAGCCAATGCACAGCATGTGGCTCATAGCCTTGAACAGGGCGTGGGAGTACTGGCGTCCCCACGAGTGGTTCTGGAGGGCAGAGTGTACTGCACAGCTGGGCACAGCCTCCTCAGAGCCTCCTTGTCCTCCTGCCCCCCCCCCCCCCCCCCCGTCCCCCCCCGGCGGTCCTTCTGTGTGCCCCTTTCTGCTTCAGACTGGCCTCCCAGGAGGCACTTCAGTTTGGTTTTGGGGGCCTCTCCGCAGCTTGGGGGGGGGTCCGTTTTGCCTAGGTTTCCTGCCCTGCCTGCTCCCTTCAACACAAAAGCACTTCCTGTAGGTAGCCTCCCCCCCCTCAGCTCCCCACCTCCTCGCTCGGCAGCTCCCGTCTCCAGCCCCAGTGCTCGGCCCTGCTACTCAAGCACAAGAGCCCCTCGAGGGCCAGGAAGGCAGAGTCGTGGGAGTCCTCACCGCCATGTGGTTGATGGAGACCCAGCAGTCAGGGGGGAAGTCCTGCAGCATGGGGACCAGGAACTGCAGGCAGCCATCCCAGTGACACAGCAGCAGCATCATCCCGATGAGGTTGAAGATGCGAACCACCGCGCTCGCCAGGTCATAGGTCATGTGAAAGATCTGAGGATTCCGAGGAACGGCTGCTGTGGACAGGACCCCTCCCCGCCGGTCCTCCTCTATTCCTGGCCTTGCCAATTCTCTCCTTGAACTTCTCTCTAGCCCCAGCCCCCATGCATCTTTAAAATGCGCTATTAGGGGCGCCTGGGTGGCGCAGTCGGTTAAGTGTCCGACTTCAACCAGGTCACGATCTCGCGGTCCGTGAGTTCGAGCCCCGCGTCGGGCTCTGGGCTGATGGCTCAGAGCCTGGAGCCTGTTTCCGATTCTGTGTCTCCCTCTCTCTCTCTGCCCCTCCCCCGTTCATGCTCTGTCTCTCTCTGTCCCAAAAATAAATAAACGTTGAAAAAAAAAATTAAAAAAAAATGCGCTATTATTCATTTGCACAGAGCTCTACAGCACACATACAGCTAATACAGAGTTGGCTGTGTTACTACTCTCCGATCTTACAGAGAGGGAATCGATGCCAGTCACGTGCCCAGAATCACACATAGTGTCAGAGCAGAAACTCAAAAAAATCTACTGCACAAGCTGCCCAGGCTGCGCCCACTGGAAAAGAGGAGAGAGGGCATTCCCGGTGTCATGTTCTCGGGGCACGTGTGCGAGGATTCATGCCAACAGCCCCCTTCCCTCCAGTAACACTCACAGAAAACACGCCGACAACTTCCTATGTCCCAGGCACTGTTCTAGGAGGTATTAAGTTACAGGTACTATTTCCTTTTATCCTTATGATACACCTCATCGTGTGTAAGTATATTTAACATTTTCATCTTCTAGAAGAGGAAAACCAAGCCTCCTATAGCGTATAGTAAACTGGGATACGATCACAGGCAAAGAAACTGCAGAGCCCACACTCTGCACCCCTAAATCCTGCTCCCCTGCCGCTGGAACTCCAATGTCTCCCACTCCCTCCTTCCAGAGTCCAGCTAACCTGCAAGCGCTCCTCCAGCCTCTGCACTCCGCCCTCCTCACCTCCGGGTGTGTGTCGGGGGGTACCCCCTGAACCCTCACTCTGCCCCTGCTACTGACCCACCCACTTTGGAGGCAGCCCACCCAGCTGCCTCACCCCGTAGCATCACCAGGAGCCCCACCCATAGCGCCGTCCCGGAGGGGTCTGCGAGCCCCCCTGCCCACCTCCCTGCCCCACCTCCTCCCACTGGTGTATGTAGCGGATGAGGCGGGAGAGGCGGAGCAGCCGCAGGAGGCTGAGGATCTTGGTGAAGCGCACAATGCGTAGGGCCCGCGCTGTTTTGTAGACCTCAGCGTCCAGTCGTGGCTCCAGCTCCACCACCAGGAAGATGTAATCCACGGGGATGGAGGAGATGAGGTCGACCAGGAACCAGGTGCGCAGGTAGTGAGACCGGATGGCGCGAGGGGCCAGCAGGATTTCAGCACCCTCCTCCACCACGATGCCTGTGCGGAAGTTGAGTACCAGATCCAACAGGAAGAAAGTGTCAGAGAGGACATTGAAGACGATCCAAGGTGGGGAGTTCTCCTCCTTGAAGAAGGTGATGCCCACAGGCAGCACAATGAGGTTCCCCACCATCAGCAGGAGCATGATCAGGTCCCAGTAAAACCTAAGGTGGGGGTGGGGTGGGGAGGAAGGCCAGGATGACACTTCACCAGCCACCAGACAAACAGCAGATAGTCTGATACAGCCAAGAGTGGGCAAGGATTACCGAATAACGGGATGGCCACTTACAGCTGGCGGGAATGTAGACTGGGACCACCATTTGGGAAGCCAGTTTGCTATCATCTAGTAAAGCTAAACATTTGCATTCCCTGCCACCCAGCAATTCCATTAGGAGCATACACACGCTCAAGGGAAATATGAGCTCCAGGAGATGTATACAGAAATGTTCATAGCAGCATTGGATCTGGAAATGACCCACACGTCCATCCGTAGAAAAATGCAGATAAATAAGATAAACACAGTAGGTGAATAGACTGTGGTGTACTCACGCCCCAGAATAATAGACAACCCTGACACCACCCAACGGCAGCCTCGTGCTGAATCTTGCAAATTCAATGTTGAACAAAACGAGAAATAAAAGGATACACGGTGGATGAGTTCACTTGTACAGAGTTCAAAAACAGGCAAGACTCAACTGCAGTATTTAGCAATTCACAGAAAAGTGGTAAAACTATAAAGAAAAGTAAGAAAATGAGTGCCTCAGAAGTTAGAAAAGTAGGTTGCGGAAAGGACTGCGGGAGCAGTAAGGATGCTTTGGGGTGCCAGCGACCTAGTCTCTCCTGACCTGGATGGTCGTTACAGGGGGGTGTGCTTTGGAATTACATATACACGTGTGTGCACGTAGACGTATATATGTATGTATACACGCACGTGCATTTTGAATATATATGCAACATGATGTATCATTATACACTATCCTACCCAGATGCCTGCTATACACACGCACCTACGTGTATACATCCTCACTGTATACATGTACATATGTACAGATACATAGACCTGCTTCATATGTATGATATATATGTAATATCATGTACATGGTTTATGTCACTATATTATATATTTTAAAGTAAAATAAAAACATAAGCTACACCGTGCTAACCTCCCAGGAGTGTTGAAAACACACACACTGAGACAATGGATACCATAGTGCCGTACAAGCACTGGTTGGTTTTATGATTCACCCACCTTTTGTTCCCAGATTTCTGAAGAGGTTGCTGCTGCTTCCATCTCAGCTCTCTGCCCATTCCTAGTCTAGGCCTTCACGCCCTCCCCAGCCCTCCCCACCCCACCCCTCCTTCCCTTCCCAACCCAGCTGGACCCATAGTTCCTGGTTCTCTGCTGGGATCTGCTCATCTGTGTCAGGGTATGGGGCGGGGGGGAGTCTGTTCTGCCTCCCATCCGAACTGAGCTTTTTAGGGATGCCCCACCCCCCTCCCCAGCACCTCAGACAGGGTTGCACATAGAGAAGCTCCACGGGAGGTCCTGAGGCAGCGAGGCTAAAAGCTCTGCACGCCTTTCCTTCCCTAATCTCCCTGTGCCTGCTGGCGCTCTGGCCAAGCCCAGACAAGGGCACTGGCAGGGGAGAGCCACACTGCTGTGGTGAAAGTGTGGAAAGGAGAGGTCAGGAGGAAGCTAGCGAAGCTTTCATGCAGAGAAGTTTGAAGCGGTTAAAAACAGCGTTAGCTAGAGTGGTCTAATTCCAGGACACACCTAATTGCAGTATCAACTCAGGACTCAGCCCTTTCTGACTCTGACTACAAAATCAATCTCTTCAGCTTCTAAAAGAAGCACAGGGGTCCCCAAAGCCAGGTCTCCAGGAAGCCCCTCAGACCGTGTGCTTTCCATCAACAACAAATCCTTGACCCCCCCCCTTCCCCTCCCTCCTGGGCCACTGGAGAGTCCTGTACTGTGTGTTGAGAGCAGAGGGGAGGGGAGGGAGGGGAGGAGAAATGAGGGGAGGGGAGGAGAAAGGAGGGGATGGGAGGGGAGAGGAGGGGGGGAGAGGGGAGGGGCGGGGAGGGGTGGGGAGGGGAGGGGAGGAGAGGAGAGGGCTCGCCCAGCCATGGAGCATCTTCACAGCCTGACTCACAGGCAGTCACAAGCTTAGCGGGTGATGCAGTAGAGAAGACAGAGAAGCGGCATGATAATACACGGCTTCTGGGGACACATCTGCGGGTAAAATGGGGGGGAGATCACAGGAGGCTAAAACAGGTGCACTGGTGGGGTAGGGATGAGGCAGTAAAGAAGAGGGGAGAGAAAGGAACAATGGGAGAAAGAGGAACATTTAGGGAGTGTGTATGTCTGTGGGTTCAAAATGATGTCCAGGTCTCCAATTGTGTTTCCAGGCTCCTGATCCACACCTCATCTTTCCTGCTCATTTTGCTCCCCACCTGAGGTGCTTTGGACACACTGTTGCCTCATCCAAAAGCTGTCCTTCATTTCCCCCAAGGACAGAGCTGCTCTCCTCCCCTAGCGACCTTGATGTAGAGGTACAGCCTGACGGGGACTGTGAAATGGCCCCACCTCCACCCTCGGTCCCTCTGGTAGGCACCTGGGAGGGTGCCCCTGTCTTGCTTCCTCAATCGCTGGGAGTCCCGGCCCTGCCCCGCTACATCCCGCCTTCAGCACCAGGGACAGCGGCAAGAACCGCAGCCGGGACATCCCCGGCCCGCGCCCCGCCAGCGTCTCTATTTTTCCTGGTAGTCGGCCCTGTTGAACTAGGCAGGTGCTGGGGGTAGGAGACAGCAGAGCTCGGTTTCCCCCTCAGGCTGACCCCGAGCCTTGGAACATGGCATAATTTCCCAGATCCCCAGCCGGCAGGACTGCAGGAGGCAGTCGTCCGTAACTCCAGTAGTCCCTGTGGTCCAGGTGGAGTTCTGGATTCCTGAAACGGTAAACCCAGGTCTCTAGTGTCTCCTCTGGTGTCAAGTCACTGAAGACCTCCGGCTGGGGATCCCTCGCCCAAGAATTCCCAGGCTAGACTGGGGGAAGTGACTCTGTTGTCCCACCCAAGGACCCCCGGGCCGGAAACGAAGAGTCTGTAGAGGGTGAGGCGTGCCCTGCCTCCGTGTCGCGGCCCATGGGGGTGGGATCTGTGTCCCCCGCCCTCCTTGCTGGGGCCCCAGTACCGGAAGTCGCTGTAGGGGTGGATGATCCAGGCCCCCGCTGACTTGACCCTCTCCTGCTCGATTTCCACTGCCTTGTGGCTGCCGAACACGCGAAGGGAGAACTTGTTGACCGTGGGCTGGAGCAGCGTCCCGAGTTGCCTTCTCTTGGGCTCGGGCCCAGACCCGGGCAGCGGTCCCGAGGCCGCGGTCCCAGGCGCCGGAGCAGCCAGAGGCGCCGCTTCCAGCCCAGGGGTCGCCCGTTCGCCAGCTCCCGTAGTCGGCCGCTGCTCTGCCTCCATGATGCCCGGTGGCTTACACGCTTGGCGTCCTAGACCCTGCCGCGGCCATCCGGGACGCCGACCCCTCCCGGAGCAGGAGCCGGCGCAGCCCGGCGGGCTCCGAGCTGCCGGCTCGCGGGGCGGAGGGGGTGTGTGCGCCAGACTCGCGGGCGGGAGGCAGGCGGCGGGTTGCGCGGCGCCCCCTGGCGGGAGCCTCCCCCGGAGAGGGCGGGGCCAAGGAAGCCCGCCTCCAGGGAAGACTCCGGCATGGGCGTGGCCTAGCAGATGGGGGCGGGCCCCCAAGTAAGGGAGGAAGAGGCAGGGAAACACAGCCGGAGTCACGAAGGGGGCGTGATCTGGTGTCGATGAGCTCTTAGCCAATGAGCTCTAGGGAGGCGGAGCCGTCCGTGAATGGCGGGAAAAGCGGACGCTGGTTGTAGATCCCGGAGTCTCCGGAGGGCGAGGAATTGGGGACCAAAGAAGAGGTGGGGAACGGTCACTCCAATTCACGGACTTCCTGCATTTCACTGTCTTCCTCTCAGCACTCTCCTAGGCATACTCCTTTCTTCTCGTCTTCTCCATGTTCCTCCTAGTATTTCATTTGCAAAGTCATACTGCTAACTTTCAGCAAGAGTGACTGCGGATACAAAGTTGAATACAAAAGTCCTGCTGTAAAGCCAAGCTCGGCTGTGCCCGTATGCAGACAGAACAAGGAGACTGCAGTGCTGTGTGATGTTCAGTGCTGGAAGTTCCCAAACATCTCAAACTCTTCCCCTCATCTCCGTTTCTTATTGCCGCTGACTTATTTCAAGCCTTCAGCATTTTTTCGCCTAGGTTATTTCAGAAGCCTCTGTAAGGGGCCCTATACTCTCTCAGGCCAATTCTTTTCCCACAGTCTGTCAGAGTTACCTTCCTAAGATTCAAATGCAACATGTCCTTCAAACCTCTCCATCTTCTGTAGGGAAGGTTACCTGTAAGCTCCTTAAAATGACCTACCAGGCCCTGCAAAATTTGGACCTAATTTCAATAGCCTCTCTTCTGATAGTCCCTCTCTTGAAAGCCAGGACTCTAATCACGCTGAAAGGCTTTGTTCTACCTTGTCTCCAGCCCTCTGCAAATACTTTCTCTGCCCGGTATGCTTTTCCAATTCACTTTCCAAGTGTTGCCTCACATAGTATCTCCTCTAGGAAACTTAGAAACACACTTCCAAATCTCCTTTCCCCAACTAGATCTAATCCAGGGCTTTCTTTCTTTTTTTAAAGTTTATTTATTTATTTTGAGAGAGAGAGAGAGAAAGAGAGAGAGAGAGAGAGAGAGAGAGAGAGAGAGAACAACTGGGGAAGGGGCAGAGAGGGAGAGACAGTATCCCAAGCAGGCTCCACATTATCAGTGCAGAGCCTGACTTGGGGCTCAGACTCACCAACTGTGGGATCATGACCTCAGGTGAAGAGTCTGATACTTAACCAACTGAGCCACCCAGGTGCCTCTAGTCCAGAGCCTTCTTACAGTGTTCATGGCAGCTCTTGTCACAAGGCTGCCATTATTCGTTTACAGGTCTTTCCCTCCCATTAGACTGTGGGGTTCCAAAGAACAGGAGCCTTGCGCCTGGCACACACCGTGGATGCTCAGTAAATGCTGAATGAACGCATGACCCGGAAAGGTGTTCGCGGAAGAGGAAGGGAATGAACGCATGACCCGGAAAGGTGTTCGTGGAAGAGGAAGGGAATTTTCCCCTTTCCCTCCAACCGCTTCATTACCCTTATCCTTCTATTTCAGGGAACCTTTCCTAAGCCATTTCTGGCTAACCGATCTAATCTCCATCTAACTACCTTCCATCCCAGCTCCCCTCTGATATGTCCTGAATTAATACAACTACTCTCAGGTTATTTTTTCTTTTTCCTTTCTATGTCTCACTTCCTTCCATCATGCCTCTAACTCGGTCCAGTTTGTCTCAAGGTCTCCTCCTTCCTCTTCTCCCCCCCCACCCCCACCCCCACCCCTTTTCCAACTCAGTTCATTTACACTTCCCATGTATTATGTGTGAGTTCGGAACATACAGTTCTCGAGCGTCTTCCCCTCTTTCAGCACCTGATTCTCCATCCCTCCTTTTCTCAAACCCTTCCTCCACGGCCTTACCTCCTGACCCACAGGTGCGTACCTTTCGCTCAGGACAAAAGGGGGCCGCCCCTCCTTGCGGCGGCTAGGTAACTGGGCTGTTTTAAGAACTGGATATTTACTGGCCGTGCCGGACAATCGGACCTCACCACCACGCCTCAAAAGCTGTGTGGAGGGTCGACACTCGGAAATGACAACTTCCAGGTCCCTTTTAAACCTCCAAACCTCACAAAGTAAGCCGCAGAAGTGTCAGGAAGACGGCGCAAGACAGAGGAACGAGCTGAGCAGAAAGGCCGCGCGGCGGGACGGAGCGCGCCCGGCCCACCCCGCACCCAGCCGCCGGAGCGCTGGAACCCCCGCGCCCCCGCACCCCCCGGCGCTCCTATCGCCGCGCCCGCCAGCTACGCGAGGACGCGGCGGCGTGCGCGCCCTGGGGGCGGGGCCCGGGGCAGCCGGGCGGGGGCGCGGGACGTGCGTACGTGCGTGCGTGCGTGCGCGCTCGCGGTGGCGGCGGCGGATCGGAGAGGCCAGAGCCGGAGACCGAGCTGGGATCGGGCCCCGGGCGGGGGCGGTGCGAGCGGCGCCGAGCGGACCCTGGGGGCGGGGACGGAGCCGGGGCGGGCGGGACTGGAGCGGAGCCCGGGAACGAGGCGGGAGGTCCCAGGGTCTCGGGTCGGGGGGGGGGGGTGGAGCCGCACTTCGTCGCCGCGGGGGTGCCGGGACTCCGGCCGCAGTGCCGCCGCCATCACGGACTTCCTGTGGGACAAGCGCACGGGCCTCGCCGCCAGAACGGTGAGCGCGCGGGCTGGCGGGCCGCGGGGCCGCGCGGAAAGATGGCGACCGCGGGGCGGGCGGGGGTAGCCTTGGGCTGGGGGCACGGCGGCGGGGCGAGAGGAGAGGAGGAGGGTAGGGACCTGCAAAGCGGCGGAGGTGAGGGGTAGGGAGCAGAGGTGGGAGATGAGCGTGCCTTGCGCGGACCCGGGCGGACCCGGGAGGACCTCCAGCAAACTTGGGAGGGGCCCGAGTAGGGGAAGGGGTGATGGAGCAGGGAGGGGAGCGGTTCCCGAGAGGAGAAAGAGCAGAATATCAGAGTTGGAGCGGGGCTGGAGATGAGGAGGACCCGCCGTGTCACTGGGAGGGCACGGAAGGAGTTTGACTCCAAGAGTTCGTTCTGGATTTTCTGAGCGAGAAAGGAGGGGGGAGAGGTTTATAAGTTGGGAAAGGTAAACTGCAGGTGCTTCTGGTGGGGAGGGGCGTGAGAAACTTTGGTGGCCGTGTGCCGTGTGCGGAGAGGATGTTTGTGTGGCTGTGCTGAACAAGCTTGGGTTACCCTGTGGGGGGGGGGGGTGAATTCTGCAGCTTGCGTCTTTGCCACAGGCCTTCTAGACCAGGACCGAGTCCGATATCACCCTCCTCGGTTTGAGGAGGTTGGGAAGTAGAAAGCTCAGAATGAGAGCCAGACGTTGGAATCATTAAGCCTTTCCACCCCTACCCCCCCCCCCCCGCCCCCAAGACTTCAGTCCCTGGGCCTGTTGAATTTTATTTTGCTGTCATATTTTTATCTTTCTGGATTGTGACAGTGATTTCTCTCTTGATTTCTTTCCTTTAAGGAAGAAAAGCGTTAGTGCACCATGCCATTCCGATTCCAATAACTAACTGGAAGGAGGCCAGCTTTTAGCCAAGCAGTGCTGATACTAATTAAAAACCAGTTATTCTCTATTTCCTAAGCAGGAGGGGAGGGGCAAATGGAAATCAGACTGCAGCTTGGGGCCTTCTGTATTAAAAAGTTTTGAGGGGAGTTTGGCCCGTGGTGATAGCCAGTGAGAGTTGACTAAGGCAGTTCAAGAGGTCAGACCCAAATCCCTGGAGCCTGCCTATATTTGGTGTATGCCACCGCATGTAGAAACCAGGTATGCTGGATTGCTGCCCACAGGACACAGAATGGTCTAGTTGGGGAGGTAGAGATACACTCTTCATTGTAAAACGTGTATTGTGATAGCGTATGCTAAAATGTTACCCTGGTGGGGTGTGAGGAACTCGCACGCAGTCGATGGAGCTTAGACTCCGGCCAGGGGTGAACCGTGGCAGTGTGCATCAATTACACAGTCTCACCTGGAATGAGCTGTGGCCCCGACCCGAAGACTTCATGGAGCCAAGTTTGAAGAAAGTCCATAGAGCAATGAGAGGAAAGGGCTGGGGGCGCGGGGCAGGCTCCTAGAGTTTTCTCGCGGAGTTGTCAAGTGATACGTACTCCATCGAAGAGGAATCGTGAGCACAAGGAAGTTGTGGGAGGTGAAAAGAGGTGGGAGTGGCCGCAGAAAGCAGCTTCGCGCCCCTGGGGCAGCCAGTGCTTGGAGGGGAGCTCCGAAAACTCCGAGCCTGTCTCCACTATTTCTCTTTCTCCTTTTCTTCCAGATGCCTCATCCCCGAAGGTACCATTCCTCAGAGCGAGGCAGCCGGGGGAGTTACCACGAACACTATCGGAGCCGGAAGCATAAGAGACGAAGAAGCCGCTCCTGGTCAAGTAGCAGTGACCGGACCCGGCGGCGCCGGCGGGAAGACAGCTACCACGTCCGTTCCCGGAGGTGAGGCTTCAGGGGGAAATCCCCTCCTCGGGGTCGCTCACTCATTTATTTATTCAGCAGAGATTTATTGGTTAGATGCTGAGCGGTTGGGGTAAGGGGCCACTCAGGACTGTTACCAGAATGAGCCATTTGCACTGTGGTGTTAAGAGTGCTATCATAGAGGAAGGGCGTGGTAAGGGGCTGAGGAAGCATCTAGCAGTCTGGTCGGATTGGGGCAGGATGTGTAATTCAAGAACCAGGGTGAAGTGTCTCAGGCGAAGGGAGAGGAAGTGTAAAAGAGTAAGGTCTAGAGATAGCTAAGGACATAACAGACAAGACAAAGTGAGGTCTGCGTGTTCAGCGTGGGACGGGTGGGTTAAGGATAGTTTGGAGCAAAATTGGATGTCAGTCAGGAACGACTCAGGAAAGAAATGGCTCTTTGTTCCATCTGTTATGTCACTAGTGGCAGGCGGGGGGTGGGGGAGGCCCCCAGAGGGAGCGGTTCTGCCTGTGTCCCTTCGGGGGTCTTGGTGGCATGCAGGTGTGGGGATCCTCGTCTGCTCTTAATGATTTCGCTCCTCTGGTCCTTGGTCCTCAGAATGACCCCATGAGTGTCTGAGAGCAGTTCTTCCAGCATCGTTCTTTGTCCTTGTTGAGGGAGGACCTCGTCCTGTCGTGGGGCAAGGAGTGTGGCCTGAACAGATGCACCTAATGGGTGTCTGTTGTCCAACAGCAGCTACGATGACCGTTCCTCGGACCGGCGGGTGTACGACCGGCGATACTGTGGCAGCTATAGGCGCAACGATTACAGCCGGGACCGGGGAGAAGCGTGCTACGACCCGGACTACCGGCACTCCTATGAGTACCGTCGGGAGGACAGCAGTTACCGCAGCCAGCGCAGCAGCCGGAGGAAGCACAGGCGGCGGAGGCGGCGCAGCCGGACGTTCAGCCGCTCGTCTTCGGTGAGTGCTCGCCCAGGCCCTTCCTCTGCCCACTCCTCTCCGGCCCTCTAGGACCCCGGTAAGTGAGAAGTACCCTTGTTTTTAGCCGAGCACCGGGGCAGGAACACTGAGGTGGGCACTGAGTCTCTGCTCTCTCGGAAGCTCTCCAGCTCTCGGAGGGCCCTGGAATCTGCTTTGGAGGTGGACGGGGCACGGAGCGTTTGTACCCCGGTGCCTTCCTCGGCATGCTGGGCCTGTCGTGTTGGGGACAGCTCCTCTGTCCCAGACGCCTCCACTCTGTAGTGGAGGCCTTGCCTGTGAATTGCCTTTCTCCCCCAAGCTCTGGGCTCCACGGCCCCTCAGTAGGTGGGCTCGGGTGGGGGCAAAGGGAGATCGGTGCCTGCCTGGAAGGGCATTGTGTAGAGCATGGGGTTGCGGGTGACATTGGCAACGACACCACTTCTCTGCTCTGCCCGTTCCTCTCCCTGTTCCCGTTTTGGGTTTGGGGACTTGGGATTATGCGCCGCTCTCTCTTCTCACCCCGATCCGCCTTACTGCATCTGACGTGTTCCCTTCCACTGTCCCCCATCATCGTCTGTCCCCCCTGGCTGGGCGCCTGTGACCGGTGACCCCTCCACCACCCACCCCGCCTCCCTCCGGCCCCCGCTCCGACACC